CGATGAATATTATTCTATTTTGAACTTCGGTTATCGTCTTACCATTAGATTGGATTTATCGCAACGTTATTTATTGTTTGTTGTGCAGTTTGCGTAGAGCAGCGGCAATATTCTTCATATGTTACAAGTATACATTGTGACGGTGTTTGATTGTTGAGGGTTGGTTATGCGGGTGAGTTCGTGCCTCGAGCGATCGTTAGAACGCAACTGATCGATGGCACACCAACGCCAGTATATCTCTTCGACACGAAAATGACACCAAAGGAACAATATCGAACCCTCGTTAAATTTCTCAAGCAAGTGTTCTTCAGGTGAGTGTTTGAGAGCGATCTTTCCCAGCTTATAATTTATGAATGTTCTTGAGCAATACGAAGTTAGCCGATGACATCCTCTGAAGCAGATACCATGGCGTTACGATTCGAAACAATGAGCGATTTGATTAGGTGAAGTATTAGTGTGCACCTATGTGGATTATTAGTTTGCTCTAAGCCTGCTGTTTTAGTTAAATGAGATCATGAGATATTGTTTGATATTGATTCATTCTCTCTTTGCGATTCATATAGTCATTATCTCAAAATTTCGCCTTACCAAAATGATGGGTTAGTGAGAGTTGAAATATTTCACGATCGAAGTATACCAAAATGGAATGGAGATGAAAAAAAGACGAACGAGTATTTTCATGCAATAGCTGACTAACTGTTAGCGATAACAAATGCAAGCGTTCGAAAGTGATCCAAAATAAATGAATGAATATTTGCATCATGAAGGAATCTGNTCTTCGCACCCTCACATCTACTCGCCACATTCCCTTTCGCCGCATCGAACGCACTCGTTGTTGATATCGGATTCAAAGAGGCTCTTGTCATACCGGTTTATTTTTGATCAGTATATTTCTTTCATCCGTTTATTTGTGCGATAGTTAATTATTCAGTCGTTTGTTTGTTTTTTCATTATTTACGTACAATATTGCTCATTTCGATTTATTCATGATCGAATTTGCATAATACTCTTCGAAGTAAGTGAACGATGCATTGGTCTTAAGTTCAACTAATTCAAAAGATCTGTTTATTGTTTTTGTGACAGTGAAAATAATCCAGAATTGTTAGTCAGGTGAACGATTTGAGAATACGTATGAAAGTGTTGTCGATCGGTATTGTCGCACTGACGNGTTTATTGTTTTTGTGACAGTGAAAATAATCCAGAATTGTTAGTCAGGTGAACGATTTGAGAATACGTATGAAAGTATTGTCTATCGGTATTGTCGCACTGACGATTATTTGCACCAATGAGGTGGTTGTATTGATTGAGAGGAAGTCGTTTTGCAGATTCTCGAGGGAGTGACGGTGTTGAGCAATTGGGAGGTGTCATCGGTGGGTGCGGGACGACTCGAGCAAAGGGTCTTAGAATTGTTACATAAGTGAGTTGATGAAGCGATTCTATCAGTTGTGTGATGATAGTGATTGTGATGGTGTAATAGGAATGATCATGTTCTCGGAATTGATTGCACGAATGACTTAGTAAGGTTGGTAATTGAAGGCATGGAAAGGTGATCACAGCGGATGGAACGGAGCGTGAAGTGAATGAAAAGGATGACATATTGTTGGAAAACAACAGCATTCTAGAAGATATCGTTGTAAGGTTTTGTTTTGCTACGAAAATGGATCGTGGTCTACAAATACAAGCTGCAGGTAGAGTTGAATATCGTTCTGATTCATCTATACCCATTTTAGTTTTTATTTTGAACGTTATCGAGCCTGATCGAATTTGCATTGAAAATGTTATTTTCTTTCAAGTGTCAACAAACTCTTACAATAGTCTATTTTAAAAGCGTATTTCTTAGACATAATTCTAAAAAAGACATGAGAAGGGCGATTCAGTAAAAATTGTATACTTTGGAGTTTAGCTTCACAGAACTTAGTGAATTTCACAGAAGAGTCACTTCAAGATAGCAGTAATTGATGAATTGGCCATAATAATTGTCAATTTAGTTGATATTGAATAATGCCTATTGTAAGTTGTTATCCGAAATATTCCGGTTTGTTGTTTTCAGATTATAATATTGAAGGCGATATACCGCCACCACCATGCGGTCTCAGCCTTCCACTTGGTGATGAAATGCTTCACATTCCTGGGGTAATCAGGTGATTCTACCGTTCATATTGATGTTTTTACTCACACTTATTCATCTTCCGAGTATATTATCCAGTTGCAGATTTCATCATATTTTTCACCCCAGTCAATTTTCCATATGACTGAACTCAGTTCCGTGCTAATGAAAAACTTACGGCTTGATTCAAGTAGGAATTTTCGTGTGCATCGTAGTTGCTTTCGACTTTGGCTGGTTTATGGATGTATTGAGTGGTTGTTGGAAATGAATTGTTTAATGAGGTATATTTTCAGAGAGTGGGCAGCTGAAGTGTTGTTCGAATGGAATGATAACGATAAGTCACTTCCGCAATTAATATTGGATTCAATCTATCGGGTAGAATAAATCATCGCTTTTACTCAGTCGTAGATTGTTTCAGTTTCGAATTCCCTTTATGTACTATCGTCTTTGGTGGTGAATGCACAACATTCTAGCAAAGTTTCGCAGTTGCATTTGGATATATGATAAGTGTTGGGAATAGATCACAGAGCGTGCAATTCTTACCTGTTCCATTGATCACGGCATTGATCAGTAATACCAAT